GACGGGGGCCGGCGGCACAGCTGTGGCGCGCGCCGGTAGATTGGGCGAGCGCGACGAGGCGCCAAACCCAGGGGGCGCTGGCTCTCCCGGCGCCTGACCACGCTTCCTAGCAGCCCTCTGGGCTGCCAGATCGTGAACCCACTTGGCAGCTGGGGCCGACCCGCGCCCCCACTGGCGGCGGCGTGATGAGTGTGCCTCAACCCATGAAAGCTGGGTGCAGCGCCGCTCCGACCCTTTTTCCTGCCTGCGCCCTCTGCAGTGCAGCCTCAGGAGCCGTGGGGCCACAACTAGGAGCTCTCGATCAGAAGAGAATCCGCCCCCAGCTCCCGCGGTCGGCAGGGGTGCACACGGCTCCCTGTTGGACACTCAGAGGTGTGTGGGTGCCGCGCAGCGACAATTAGGCGGGGAACACAGCCTGCAGACGGTGGCATGTTGCATGCCTGTGGAGAGATAGACTGGCGGCCCACCGCCAGAGGCCCGGGCGACGGTGCCAGAAGCATCACCTGTGAGGCTGTCGCCTTTGGTGCAGGGCAACGGCTCGAGGGGCCCGGATGTCGGCGCCTCACGGTCACGCATCTTCAGAACTTGCAGGGTGAGGATTGTGCGTGGCATGCAGCTTCTGCCGTGCGCAGTGGCACTACTGAACCTGTAGGGGCAGACTGTGGCGGTTATCGGGCCCGCCGAGCGGCCTGGCGCTGCCGCCTGCCGGCCGTCACCCACGCTCCCGCCCTCCCTCGCCGACGCCCCGCCTCGCCCCGGTCCCCCCCTTTTCTCCCACCCTGCAGCGAGGCGGCCTGCTCGACCATGCCACCTGCGGCGGTATGCGCCATGGGCCCAGCCTCCCCCGCCAAGGCCGCCACCTCCAGCCAGCGAAGCGCGGGCACGGTGAGCGGCGGGCCCGCGGGCGGCGCTCCCGAGGTGGCGCAGCAGCCGTCGCCGCCCTCGCTCAAGCGCCAGCTGTCGCTGGCTGACGAGGACGCCGACAGCCAGACGAGCTCCCAGGGCTGCAGCAAGTCGCAGCGCAGCAGCCTGGGCGCCACGCCGGCGCGGCGCGCCGCCGCGCGCCGCGCGCGCGCCCTGTGGGCCCGCGAGGGCGGCGAGGGCGGCGGCGGCGAGTACCC